CTATTATGTACTTTATTATCTAGGCATTAGCATATTCTCAGACCAGCTAGGTAAAGTTATCAAATGATATTTTCACAAGATGAGGAGAGAAAATAGTATAAGAAAAACCTTGACTCTTTTAATGTTTCCTTACTATTGTCACTGCAAGTGAAACTAAAGTGGAATGAGTATATTTAAAAAGAATGAAAACATGGGGTTCTGCAATGTGACAAGTAGAGTATTTATTTTTTTGTGTGTATGCCTGTCAAAAAGCAATTTAGTACAAGGCTTCATATCCAAATTGGTAGAAGTGATTTATCCAAGTAAAATATTCTTTCAGAAGAGATAAAAATAACATTGCATTGTCACATTATTCCACTATTCTGTTTGATAAAGTAAAATGGGATGTTACCCATGAATCGTCAGCTTTGGGAATAGACATTAATTTGCTTTATTGTGACAAATGATACTGATGTGAGAGAGGTCTCAAGATTATCAAGTACTCTTAAGGTGTTGGTCACCGAAACTTAATAGTGGTGGGGAAAACTAGAGATTGTAAAGTAGGTGACTTACCTTGTTTAAAATTTAGCTTTAAAGCTTCTTTCAAATAATCAATGTAAAAGATTCAGAGAACTAATAAAATAAGTTCTGGTTATATTTCTATTGAAAAAAACAATTACTTTCTACCAATAGCTGAGTATGCTCAGGGTTAGAAATAGTATTTAGAGTTCCTGAAGTACTTGGTATATTGAGATCACATTTTGCTTCTCAAATCGTTTAGCCAAAAAAGGCGATAGTGAAGCTTTAGAGATGTGGTACTTCCTCCCTGACTTGTTCAGTATTATTAAAACACACTGAATTATTAAATTAAACTCATATTAAGTTACATGGATGTTAATATTTGCTTTTTACTTCAGTGAGTCTGAGTATATATCTAGAAGACCATAAGGTGCTTGCTGTTGTGGTTGCCTTTGCTACATCCTCTTCTTTCCTTATGACATGTAATCTTCTGTTGTCATTTGGAAATCATACTTGTCTTCAATCATGTATTTTGCAGTGCCAGCATGTTCAGATGTTGATATAGCGGTGCTGTATCTGGTGTAAGGCTTTGTGATGTTCTCTTGTGTAGAAAGGCTGAGTAGGACCAGGGTGTTAATGAGGCTTTTTGCAATGTGCTAATTAAATTTTATAAATGCATGTTGAATAGATCTAGTGGAACCGGTTTTTGAAGTAAAATACAAACACTGCACACTCAGACTTCCTCCATAAACAAATGATTGTGATTCATCCTGTAGTGTTTCATGAACTGTACGTTTCCTGGTTAGTTGTCTGTTCAATGAACATGGGTTGGCTTGCAGAATCTCCATTTCATATCTATAACAGGCACTAAAGTGATATCAAAAATAGTTTCCTATTTTTGTTTCTTCTTTGAAGATTCTTTGTGAGGTGCTACTGAGATTCTGAAGAGTGAACAATTTGTTAAGCACAAGGGTGGAGTTGATAAAACTGTAGCAGCAGAGGCAGAGATGCGAATTTTCATATTTGGCACCCATTTTTCTTACTTGATGGCAATCTACAAATATTTACATACTGCAAAAGTAAATGAGTTATTGTGGTAGCTGTTGCTGTTTCTTGCTTTGGCAGGAACAAGGCAACTATCTGCATCAGAGTTCACTCACAGACTACATGCAAGTGTGGAGTGTTGCATATGCAGCTTCTGCTGCAGCTGCCATTTTGTCATTTCAGAAGGAGTGTGTTCAGACCTCCTTCTCCTTTTTTGTTCCTGCTTGTTATGCTTTACAGTATTAACTGAAAAGTTGGAAAGGAGCATTTCCATTTGTCATTTGTTTTTCAGTGTCAGTGTTTCAACAGTTTCTTGTTTGAGCTGCATACGTGTTGTAAGATTTTCCCCAGGACCTGTGTCATAAAGAGCATACAAGAACTTGGGTTTGTCATACTTTGTTTCATAGGAAGAGCTCAGAGGGCCCCATGTACGATGGTCAGTGTCGTGACAGGTATTGCATAAACCAAAGTCAAGGCAGGGAAGGGGTATTCTGGATTTGAGGAAGATGAATGTGCTACCTGTCTCCTACTGAAAGTATCCATTTCTCTACTGTAGAGCTGGGACACTGGAGAGCTGTCTGCCACTAATGTTGACCAGGAAAGGTCACACAGACCATGAGGGAGCAGATCCTATTGACGCACCAGCTCTGGGAGGAAGAGAGCTGAAGTTCTGCATTCATCCAGTGTGATATGGCAGGCCTGGTGGTCTAGGAACACTTTCTGCATTTCATTAAACGCTATATATGAATTTGATACTCTTAACAGGCAGTATAACAGCTGGATGAGCTCTCTTGCATAGTAATAGTATTGTTTTAAAGCAAGCACCAGATGTAGGGGCTTATTGCCCACAGGCACTGATCTGTACAGCTGCTAATATCAGCTTTCTGCTCTCTTGCTCTGTCTGTAGCACGATTTTTGCTCTTGCTTCCTCAGATGTTATCCACCTCAGCAAAACTGGCGCCTCTGCACTCTGAGGGGTCTTGTGGTGCTGATAGTCCCAGTTAAGCTACAGTTAGATTTGCCACCTCCCCTTCCCATGATATCTGGGTTTACTTTCTGTGCTTTGTCATATCCATAGAAATCTTCCCTGAGCTGATCAGAAAAATCACTCACTGCTTCTGGGGATGTTCATAACAAATCTGCGAGTTGTTGGATGGCCATGAGTTTAACAGGATGGGTGCTCATTAGAGGTTTCAAAGTAAAATGCTGACAAGCTGGAGATGCTGCATTGCACCTGTTCGGTCTCTATCCCTTCCTCAGTGTGAAGTCTCTGTCTGTTCAGGAGGTCAGATTTGAGAGGACTTAGCTGTGAGTGCTTTGGAACAGTGAGTTGTCTTCCTGTTGTGTAACAACTGCCAATGGTAATGGCTCATCAGGGCCTTGGAGTGTTACTGCTGTATATTAAAGAAAATATAAACCAAATATATCTTAAGGGAATACAGGTAATTTAAAGTTTCTGGTGCTTACTATGGGGGATTCAGGATTATTTGTTGGAGTTCATTTTGGGACACGTTGAAAAAAACATTTACATTTGCAGTCTTAAGAAAGTGTCTTGCACCAATGAATGAGGGTTTCTTTAATCATATTGTTCTCACTCCAGCAGCTTAAGCAAAAAGCATTTCAGAAGCATTTCACAGTTAAAAGCTTGGCTGGTCTGCCTTAAAATGTTTCACTATTTTTAGCATTTCCTGTGATACACAGGAAAGATGAGGTATATTAGTACAAGGAAACTTGTAGCATGTCCTATAGATTTATTCTGAACCTGCTTGTTATCAAACTTTTCTGTACTAGTGTTTCCCCCTGGAACAGCAATGCTAGCAAACATTATCTTTTTTTAAAACATGTAAAAGCTGTCAGATTTTCTTATTGTAAGTGATGGAGGTGTATGTAAAAAGCCCATTCACTGCCCAACATGATGGCAGTCTAAGTAGAACAAGAAACAAACCAGTAGGGGTGGGAAAGAGAGGACATATATGTCTGTTCCTAGACAAGAATTAATAGATGGGTTTGGTATATTTTTTCAGGATTACATTTGTGATTGCTTTTTGTTGTTGTTTTTTGTTTCTTTTATAGGTATGTAGTTTTGACCTGAGATGTGCCTTAGTTTAGAACCAGGTCAGCATCCTCAGAGCAGTGAGATGTCCAGACAGAAAGAAATTTTATCTAGTCCTTCTTTTGAGGAAAACGTAACAGAAAAGAAGCAGAGTACAGGTGTACAGCAGATCTCGTGCTGACTGCCAGTTAGGAACTTCATACTCTTAACATTAAAACTGGGGTGTGTAAGCAGGATATTGACTGCAAGATGTGAAAAGTCTGGTTCTTACAAATAAACCTTTAGCTGGAGTGTCTGGTTCTCAATACTGCAGGTCGTAAAGGATGAGAGAGTCCAGAAGATCCAAAGGGAAGTGTTGAGAATGATCACACTCCTAGAAAAAAATGCAGGAAAGGTCTGGATAGGTGAATCTTGTTTCTTCTTAGAAAAGAAGGCTAATGTGACACATGATAAGTCTTTAGAGAAGTAAATAGTTGCTATATAATGGAGAGGAACAAACTTTTCTTTTTTCATTGCTAGTAGTGCAGAGAGTCCTGGGTTTAAATAGTGGCAGAGGAAATCTAGATCAGTAATTAAGAAAAGTATTCCTTTCTAATAGTAATGGTAGTCAAGCACTAGAATAGATTGCTAAGGGTGGTTGTGGAGTCTCCAGCATTAACAATAATTTTTTCAAGAATGGTTTGGAGAAGTAGTGACACTTATTATTAATTCAACCTTGGAGGAAGAAAGGATTAGTGAGTTCACAAGGTTTCCTTCTTGATCTTTTTTCTAGATGTCTTGAAAAAATTGTGTTGAAGTAATGCAGGATATCCTAGAAAAATAGCAAAAATTTACAATGTGGCTTTGCAAAAATGTAGTGGTTTACATCCACTCCTGTATTCTTTCCCATTTGAAATATTTTGATAGCTTAAGTCTTGTAAAATGTATCGTGAGTTGAACTTTGAACTTGCATTATCCCTGATTTTTTTTAAGTACTTTATTAGAAAGATCGTATGTATAAAAAGAAACTTGTATATTAAAAAAAAAAAATACCCGCATTCAGGCAACTATGAGTTTTATAATTTCTCCAATAGTTCAAAAACATCTTTGATGTTTTTATATCTTAAGCCGAAACAGTATTACTTTGGTGGCAGCCCAGACCATCATATGTAAGTTATGAGTTTATAAATATGAAAATAATATGAGATTTCAGAAAAGCACTAAGTTTATTTTAAGTGGCAAAGTTATTACAATCCAAAAATCTCATTGGCTGGAAAAGCTAACAAAGGCTGAAAAATGCATTAGAATAAAAAACCTTATCCATCTGGTGTTGTTTATGCCTTGCAACTGTATTGTACTGGTCATCACTTAGTCCACGTGATCTACATATGATTTTGCAGCTGTTTTTGTTTGTCTTGATTTATAGATGACTTTGATGAGCTTGTGGTGAGTAACAATGATGTTGTGCTCAAAAATATTGCTGAAGATTTGCGGAATCGTTTACCCATCGAGGCAATGTTTACTTCAGAACATCAAGCTGTTCAGAAAGTAAGCTCGTTGTTATAGTCTGCTTTTCTGAATCACATAATTTATTCTGATTTCATTTTTAGTAGTTGTTAATAATAGAGAATGAGCACTGGATTGAGGAATAGGAAATCTCAGTTTGGTTCTCATGTCTGTTTCTGCATGTTTGCCTGACTCTGAGAAAGTTGCTTCATAGCTCTTAATGCTTTGATCATAAGTTATATGGCATAGCTTTCATTCTGTGTGGTATGGCACCTGTCACAGTGATTCTCTAATGCTAACTCCGTAATAAACTCTAACAACCCCCTTAAAGAAAACAGAAATTCAGGGCCAGTGTTTCACTGTTGCCATAATGTGGGCAGCCCAGGATAATTTTCAGCTCTTTTCAGATTCTGATGGCTCAGAAAGAGGTGGGCTGTGAGTCCTGTGGGAGGGAAGAGCACCTTTTCTACTTGAGCTGTCAGAACACAAGGAAAGTTAGTGCATTTCCCAGAAAAGTGATGTGTGGCTCTTCAGTGGAAAAACTGGATTGACCACACACAGCAAGCCTGGAAAAGGGAGGAAAGAGGAGTAGGAGGATGAAGATTATACCCCTTGAAGTGATGAGAAGGCAAGCATCCCAACTGGTATACTTTTGATTGAAAGTGACACCCATGTTAATCAGGAATGTTTCTAGACTGAGGCATAAGGCATGAAGATGAGAATAGTCAGTTGAGGCTGAGAAGCAATGTTGTCTTTTTCCTAAATTTAAGTTATATTCTCCTTATGAAAGAGGAAGAGAAAAGGCTTCCTTTACTCTGTACCTCCTCTGTAGCCAAGTAAGCAGTAAGGAGACAAAACTCACATCAGGTCTCCTACTCAGCTGTCAAAACCAGCTTGCTTTCCTCTGTTGACTTCCACTTACTGGTTATTTCACTGGAATTTGATGATCCCGTTTACAGGCAGGATCTTTTTAAATTTTGATTTATAACTTTTGCACTAGGGGAAAACATGGATCTTGGGGATTTTGGGAAGGGTAGGATGGTGGGGCAGTTAACCATGTGACAGTGTAAGTGAAATTAAGAGACTTGGTTATGCCTTTCTAAGATTGTGTTCCTCTTCTCAGATACACCAGCATCCACTGCCCATGATTCATGTTGATGCATTCCTTTATGATGATGATGTTGTTGATTCATTGTGTGAGGAAGGAAAAATGAGTAGGAGCTACTGCACAGAGTGTGGCTCATACAAAACTGCATCTTTAGGTAAGTGCTCTTTTGGGAACATGAGAAACAAGTTTAGTTTAACTAAACTGGTTTGTGCAGTGACTCAGCTGGACAACACAACATCCGGCTGATGGAGGGCTTTGTCCAGACTGGTGCAGTACAGAGGCCAGAATTATTTCCCGTAACCAGTGGAAGGAGACTCCTGCACACGTAAGTGGAATTAATTTGCAGTGTGTGAATGATGCTGGTTGCCCACAAAAGCTGGACATGTAAGAGGCAGGGCTGTGTACCACTGGAAGGGAAGATGCGAGAGGAAGACAATACTGTAGGAGTCCACGCTGTAACCTCAGCCTCCCCTCGCATGCTGAAAAACAGGAGAAAGCACCATCTGTCTTAAAGCTCGTATGTGGTGTGGTACAGATCAGTGCTGTTGCCAGTATAGCACAGGCATTGAAGGAATGGTTTATATGAAGAACCTTCTGTTCCTTAAAACCTTGGAGTGGAAATTTAAAGCTATTAGTATGCTCATAAAAAATTTGGCATGAATTGTGTTGGGCCTTAGGTACCATGTTTCCTTTTTCAGTTAAGCAGTTCCAAGTTACTTTGTTTTGTATTCTTTAATATATGTCACTTGCAGAAAAAGGTAATTCAGTTTCATGAAGGATTTCAAAATTCCCCATTTAAGGCAAGGAAGCCCCGGACTTGGGACAGATTACTTGGCAGTCTGTTTCTGATCTGCAAACCCTGGTGTTCCAGGGTCCTCAGCACTAGTTCAGACAGGAAACCATGCAGGTTTTCAGTGATGATAACTCCTCAGGTTATTATTGCATTGGTTAATAACACAGTAGTTAGTACTACCCACCCAACACTTTTGTTCTGTTCTTATTTCCCAGAGTTTATTTCGCATTCCTTTTCCCTCATGGAACTGAAGTTTCTTTATCAACATGTACTGCCTGACCTGACAGGAAAGGTAGTGGTTGACGTTGGCTCCAGGCTTGGTGCAGTGCTATTTGCGGTAACTTCCAGCACAGGAATTCATATTTTATTACTGTGACAAATATTTTCCCTCTTCTCTGATGCCTACTCTTTTACTCCATCTTGGATGGGTCATTCTGAGAGGCACCTCTGATCTGACTCTCTGAATAGTATAAGGTGCTGTTTACTAGCAATTTCAGTTCTTCCTGTGTTCCTCACAAGAGAGAATACAAATGATCTTGCTTATGGAGAGGAAAAGTCTGTTGGCCAACAGAATAGCATATTGCTGTCACACATGCTGCTCTTTTGCTAGTTCCTGCTGTCTCTTTCATAAGTAAGTTTGTCCTCTAATATCTTGACCATGCCTATATATAGATTAGTTATGTTAAATTCCTTTATGAAACTGACAAACTGTTAAATTATACAAAGGAAGACTTTGATATGAACTTGTCTGCAAAAACATATTGTCCTGCTCTGTGTTTTAAAAATGCACATAAAATACTTCATCGAGAAACTTGAGTGCAATTTTGATTGCTTTTGGCATGGCTGGTGCAACATATGGCCAACAGCAATGCAAAACACACATTACTACTTTCTTACAAAAGTCAATGGCTGTTTAGGCCTCAATCTTGGAAACACTTGAGCATGTAATTCTACTCATCTGAATAATCTAATTTTGGGACTTCTCAAATGAGGAAAGTTACTCCCACTTGTAAATATTTGCAGCATTGGGTCCTTAAATGGTAGCACTTTTGCTAGGCTGGATTTGTTTTGAAATATTTAAATGCTTGTATTGTTATAGTAGAAGATATTCTCAAATTAAGCGCTCTTTTAAAAAAGAGTTCTCTTTTGTTCTTGCCATGGAGGAGGGGTGACTTCACCTTCACAGGTTGCTTTTCTACTCTCTGAGTTGAGTGGTTTCAGAAAACATTAATAATTAAGTTGTAGTACATGGGTATCTCAGATACTCTGTATCTTCAGCATTGTTTGCTTGTCTTTGCCATTGTTGGCAAAGTGTAATTATTATGTTCAGTGGAGACAGTGGCACTTAAAGCAGAGTCTTCGTTAGGGCCCTGTATGCTCAAGTGTTTGTACTTTTCTTTCCCTAACATCTCCAACAACTTTCCAAAATCTCAATCTGAAAACGAAGCTATTTTTGGGGGCTTATTATTAAGGCATAATTTAACTTTTTTTCCCCATACACACCTCTATGAAGCATCTGAAAATGTTAGTAATACAGTGACTTAGAGGTGCTGACAAAGAATTGGTATCAAAATACCCCATGTACATTGTCCTCTATTTTCAGTCACTTTGACTATATGTCATGTCTCATGGGGTTTTTTCCTTTTTTTGGTGCTATTTTCTTCTTCCATTCTCCTAAGAAACAAAATTGTGCATTCTTTTCCTTTTGCACTATTTTTATAACTTGTTTTGTACAGCTTTTTTCCTCCTTAGATTATTTTCCAACTGTTTTGCAATTGAAGTTGGAACTTTCCTCTTCTTTTTATTATTTTGATGTGTCATTTTGGATCTCTTACGAAAATTTAAGAGATGTAAGTGGGAATTGCCAAATCAGGGGCTTAGCTCTGAAAAATACATCACGTCCACTGAAAGACATTTCTCAACTTCCTGTTTTTAATCTTAACTTGTGTTTTATTCTTTTATTTTTAATTGAAAATTTTGAACTTGTTTTAAAGGCATTGCAGTTACTAAATTTCCTTTTCCTAATGTAGGGTTATCTTTATAGCTCAGCATCCCAGCTATATGGAGTAGAAATGAATGCAGACTTTTGCCAGTTGCAAGAAATTATGATTACAAAATATGAGTTCATTGACAGAATAAAGGTAAGTAAATATAATATTTTAGTTTATGTACCTTTAACCACCATGTACTAGGTATTCTGTTTATGTGAGTGGCTGGTAAATCAGCATTCTTAGAAGTTTCTGCCTTTGCTTGTTCTGGTCTGAAACAAAGGCTTTGCATTAGGAAAAAGAATCTCATAGCAGAGAAGAAGAGGGAAATTATCAGAATATGAATCACTTAGCCGTTTTCCTGAATGGACTTACCCATTGGCTCGCACAAAACAGATATATCTGTTTCTCCCAGTGAAATCAATTACATTATTGCCACTCACTTCTACACAAACCGAGTGTATAAAGAATTTCTGTTACTAATACACAACTAAACATCTGTGATTTGCTGTTGTTAGCAGAAGGATGTTTGTAGGATTTGCAAATTTGCATCTCAGGACACCTAAAGGACTTAGAGCTATTGGTATTGCCTTTCATAGAATGTCAGTGTATATGTACCTTCCACAAACAAAATGGGTTTCAAACAGTGGGATACTAGTATGGGAACCATTTCCTAGTCCCATTATGGGAATAACAACTAATATTTTAATGAGGAAAAAAATTCCTTTCTGGAGAATACCAGTTATTTTGTTACCAGCAAAAGCTGGTAAGTAGAATACGCTGGGTATAATACTGGCTTTAATCCAGTTTTGTATGCATGTGCTCTTGAACGAATTCACACAAATTGCTGAGTATAGTAATTTCTTGGGAATTAAAGAATTTTAAACCAGAAGTAAATAATAAATGTAAAATATTTAACACAGGGTAAGCAGTATCATTAGGTTGCTCAATTCAATCCCAGTTGCTGACAGTTGATCCAGAACCTTTGGCTTTTGCATATGTTTTGTGTTCGTAACACCTTATTGTGATGAAACTGAAAATACAGTTAGGAACTCTGTCAAGTTAATTCAGTGACACTAGAGACCTATAAGCATACTTTTCAGCCTTGTATATTCTTCATTATAAGCTTTTCTTGGTTTTCCTTCACACCTTGTAATTCTGCTGAAGTATTCATTTTGGAGCATAAAGATAAGAAGATAATACGTTTTCAAAGCAGTGCCTGAGGACTTAGCTATTTGAGTCTCATTAGACTAATTTGGTCATGTGACTCCTGTTATCACACTGCTTTGAACATTTCAATCTTAGATTTTTATTTCACCCCCAAATGAATCCTCTCCAGAGATACATACCAGCTTGAAGAACAGTGAGAATCCTATTGCTTATAATAATTCATGACACAAATTCGAAAATCTTTTAGGAGACCCTTCTTAAATAGTGATTGTTGTTTTCAAGATATTCTGAATTTTTATAAGACTATGTTTTCAAAGGACAGCAAAGTGAAATAATATCTTTAGTGGCAAAATCTCTGAGTGAACCTTGTGTTTCGTTGGTCAACACTTGGTTTGTTAAAGTACATAGAAGGTTGCTCAGCATCTCTTGCCATTTGAGCAAACATTTAAATACTGTGAGGAAAGTAAACAGTTCAGCAGATCTTAGGAAACTTGAGACCTCAATTCAGAAATTGCCTGTAGTCTTGAAAGGCTTGATGTGTATTCCATGGAGGGCAGTTTTAAAATCAGTTGCTGGTTCTTCTGTTGTGCCAGCACACAGCCAAGCAGATCAGGGAACCGGTCCAGCTGAAAAAGAACCCAGCAATACTGGGGTTTTGACTAGAGCAGTACGTGGTCTGGCTCATGGTGCAGCCACACATGCTTATGTGGTCCCACATTCCCCAACAGGAATGAGGATGTGTTTGTGGAGAATGAGGTGCTTAGGTGACTTTGGTCAGCTCGGTCACCTACTCTGGAAATGCAGAGTAATTTTAAGTTAAGTATCATTCAAGTCAAGAAAACATCAACATAATGTTAAAAGTTTCCCAGTACTTTAAACATCTTTCTGAATTGTGGCTTAAATTATTAGAAATGCCATTAGTAGAGCTTTAAAAAAATTTAGTGCTAATCATGACTTCCTGTGCTGCAAGAAGTCCTCTGGTAGAACAGTCCACCACTCACTGTATAGATTAAAGGACTGCTGCTCAGGTGGGGCAGTGGGTTTCTATTTTTTTCCCTTTAAGGATAAGATAGTAAAGAGAGTTTGTTAGGAGGAGAAATCCATAATTTACCCTCAGAACAAGTATTGATATGTTGTTAAGTGGGCAAAACATTTTTCAACAGGTGTTTTGATAAAAATCTATACTAACATTCAGCTTTTCTGTCCAATTTCAGTAGGATTTGACAAAATATGAAAGTTGAATCCATCAGATTAGTGTATTCCCAGCCCAACCTAGTAATAGGTCACACAGGAAAGAAAACGGTTGTTCAGATTTTCTGACAATTTTCAACATACAGGGATGCACTTTCAAAACAAATTTGTGGAATGCAATATTCAGATTGACTTTCTACCTCTTAACGCAGAATCACAGAATGATTCAGGTTGGAAGGGACCACAGTGCATAGTCTGGTCCAACTGCTTGCTCAGGTGAGGTCATCCCAGAGCACATGGCACAGGATTCCATCCAGACGGTTCTTGAATATCTCAAGTGAGGGAGACTCCACAACCTCTCTGGGCAATCTGTTCCTGTGCTCAGTCACCCACACAGTAAAGAAGTTATTCCGCATATTCAGGTGGAACTCGTGTACATCAGTTTCTAGCAGGTTGCCTCTTGTCCTATTGCTTGGCACCACTGGGAGGAGCCTGGCTCCATCCTCTTCACACCCTCCCTGCAGGTACTTACAGTCACTGATAAGGTCCCCTCTCAGTTGTCTCTCCTTGAGGCTGAACAGGCCCAACTCCCTCAGCCTTTCCTTGTAAGAGAGACACTCCAGTCCCTTAATCATCTTTGTAGCCCTGCACTGGACCTGCTTTAGGAACTCCTGTTCTGTGGAGTCTGGAATGGAACACACCACTCCAGATGTGGCCTCACCAGGGCTGAGTAGAAGGGCAGGATCCCCTCCCTCAACCTGCTGACAGTGCTCTTCCTGCTGCACCCCTGGATATCATTGACCTTCTTGTCTATATGACTCACTGCTGGCTCATGGACACCTTGCTGTCCACCAGGACCCCCAGATCCCTCTCTGCAGAGCTGCTTCCCAGCAGTTCAGCCCCCAGCCTGTGCTGGTGACCGGGGTTATTCTTCCCCAAGTGCAGGACCCTGCATTTGCCTTTGCTGAATTTCAGTCCATTCCTCTCTGCCCATCTCTCCAACCTGTCGAGGTCCTTCTGAAGGGCTGCACAGCCTCTGGGGTATCGACCACTCCTCCAGCTTTGTGTCCTCGGTGAACTTGCTGAGGAGGCATCTGCCTCTCATATGAATGAGATAAACAGTACTGGGGCCAGTATTGAACCTTGGTGGACACCAGTAGTGACAGGCATCCAGCTAGACCCTGTGCCACTGATTATAACTCTGTGGGTTCTGCTGTTCAGACAGTTCCGAAGCCACCTCACTGTCCACTCATCCAGTCCACACAGCCTGAGTTTGCCTATGAGGACGTTGTGACAAAAGCTTTGCTGGAGCTGAGGTAAACAATAGCCACTGCTCTCCCCTCCAGGTAGTTTCATCATAGAACACAATCAGTTTGGTCAAGCATGGTTTACCTTTAGTGAATCCATGCTGATTACTACTTATCCCTTCAAAAGTTGTTCTGATTTATATTTCTCCTTGGATTTGGGATGCAGAATAATAGAATATCCTGAGTTGAAAGTGACCCACAAGGATCAGGGTCATCGAGTCAGATTGATATATTTCTTTGTCTTTAAGGGGAAGTCAAACACTTCTTGTCAGAATGTTAATGAGCATCCATATTTTCCTGTCTCACCTGTTTTGAAAAATTACATGATGTGCTAATATCCTTTTTGTTAGGTGAAGGCAGATGAAATCAAAACAGCTCCTCCTATGCTGACTGGAGAGGTAGTTGTTTAGTAAGGTAAAGCATTTGCTGTCCTCCAGTGACACTGAGCATCCTGACTTTCCAGCATTCCCAGTCCAAACATGTGTTGTGAAAATTCAGCTGTCAAGTCTGGGTCTGTAGTGTCTTTTCTACCTATAATCTTTCAGTAACCCACTGACCCTCTGAGATGCCTTTTAATATCCTCAAAATAGCTTCAACTAGCTTAGCTCCTTTCCTGAAATTGGTGAACATTTGTCATAAAATATAGGTAAGTGAAATGTAACAGCCATCACATGGCACACAGAGTCCCAGACCAAAATTTGGATCTACTTTATTTCACTTAACATAGTGGATTAAGTGTTTTAATTGAGTAAGTATTTTTTTTTTTTAAGGTTATTCTGGTTATTTACTTCAGTTTTATCTACTGTGAAGCCAGTGAAATGCCCGTTTTTGTGACTGGTTCAAAATGGTGGTAGCAGGTGTTGTATTACCCTGACAGGCTTCATGACTACATGAAGGCTGTATTTGTCTCTTAATTTATGCCTTGTGAAATTCTTCTCCTTCAGGTGGTTCATGCAGATATCTGTACTCAGGCTTCGCTTCTTCAGAAGGCTGATGTTGTTGTAATGAATAATGTCTTTGAATATTTTCTTGACAGACAGGAACAGGCCAGGTAAGCTCTGTGTCCAGGCAAGTTATCTATTTCTTTGGCAATGTGTGCGTAACCTTGTGAGTTATGGAAAACCTTAAGGTTGTGCTTTTTGAAGTCACACACATAAGTTACATAAGGTAATTGTTTTCAACTGCCTATACTTAAGAGTTACACTGCTAAGGTGTAATGGCAGTTGTTTATTGTTTAAACCCACTAAACACTTTGCTGCTTTGTTTACCCAGACCTTGCCCTGAATTTTTGCACTGATCTGTTAAACTAGTATCTTGCTGCTAAAGGATCTGAAATTAGTGTATCAGCATAAAGCTTAGTCTTCAGAAGAAGACAGGTCACTTAACTAGTAGATGTCAGAGCTTTAATATAGATGCACTGCAATGCATGTTTATTAATATTTCTAATATATCTTCATAAGCATGTGGTAGCAAACCAACATGGGGCAAAGGTTTTCTTTCAGGTACAAGATGCTCACAGATAAGCTTTTGCTAATCCAGCAGCATCAGTTTAACATGTAAATAACTTAATCATCCAGAGTTACTGTTCCTTTAGAGTGGGTAGTCAAAAAGGAGTACCTGTGTCTCCACTGTCCCAGCTAAGTCTGACATTCTCTACCAGTTTCAGCTAAGGCTTGTCCTACTGCCCTGGATACCAGGTGGTAATGTCAACCAGAGAGGCACAGAGTGGATGGGTGAAGGGCAGTGGGTGTTTCAGAATGTAAGGAGATCCACTTCCAGGCACATGATTGAGACTTCATTTGATTGTGTTGTAACTCGGGGATAGTGGGTTAGTGTTGCATTAGTAGCGTGAAGACAAATTACATTTGAAGAGTGCTTGAAATCAAATTCTTTTTAGTCTGAATTGCTGTGCTGTTAGAAATGATCTGACTTGCAAAATCAGAAAAAGGAATGCTGATTACTAAAGTCTTAAGAGAAGTACTTTGTCACGACAGCAAGGTATTTATGTAAAGAGCAGCTTGTTGTGAAGCTTAGTAGAATACTGTGCTTAGAGACTGGATTTTCTTCAAACCCGAAAGTTTAAAGGGGCCAAATGTCGATGTTTAATCCTAGTTCAAAGCGAAGGTGTTGACAATACCAAATGGCATACATGTATGTATCAGAGTTAAAAAGCTACAAAATCTGACACTGTAAGACCATATATTCCCTGTGCTTTTAAGAAGAAGCTTGATTTTGTTCATGCAAAGATATTTACTTAGATATTAATAATGACTGATAAGCATGTATGGCAAGTCTTTAAGCTTAGTCTACCTCTACCCAATAAACTGTGTCAGATTCATTGTATATCAAATGTGGGGGGTTTTCCCCTAAAAATTGGTGACCTAATTTTGAATATGTTTCAGAGCTTGGGAATTTATTGCTTGTAATGTAAGGAAAAGAGGATCCTTATTAGTGACAGTTCCAAGTCTTCAAGAATCACTTTCAAAGCTCCAGGTAAGTTCCCTCAGCCAGTTTTACCTGACACACTTTGTAATTTTCTATCAAAGTGGCAGTTCTTTAGTTGAGATTAGCTGCTTGCCAGTATTGCTGTAAGGAAGGATATTTAATTTTATGCAGAGATTAAAAGGTATAGGACTCTGGATTCTATTTCTAGGTTGACCACCAAGACATCTTCCTGTACTTTGATTGTCCTCACCTGTAAAATGAAAATCTTTGCCTATATCAATACACTGCATGAATCATTGTATTATCATGTGTTTTATTAAAAATACCTTAGCTGCGAGGTTAAACACTTGAACACTTCCAGAGATGATGACTCTACCACTTCCCTGGGCAACCCTTTCCAATACTTAACCACCCTTTCAATGAAGAAATTCTTCTTGGCATTCAGCCTGAACCTCCCCTGGCACAGGCTGAGGCCATTTCCTCTTGTCCTGTCTCTATTTGCCTGGTAGAGGAGACCAACCCCCACCTTGCTGCAACCTCTTTTTGGGTAGTGATAAGGTCAATCCCGAGCCTCCTTTTCTCCATGCTAAAAACCTCACAGGACTTGTGCTCCAGACCCTTCACCAGCTCCATTGTCCTTCTCTGGACACAATCCAGCACCTCAATTATTTTCTTGTAGTGAGTGGCCCAGAACTGGTCACAGCACTCAAAGTGCAGCCTCACCAGTGCTCAGTACAGAGGGACGGTCACTTTCCTGGTCCTGCTGGCTGTGCTATTTCTGATACAGGCTAGGATGCCATAGGCCTTCCTGGCCACCTGGGCACACTGCCATCAGACTTCTTCCAGGTATAGGGGTAGAACTTCAGAAATACAGGTGTACTTAGAGACTTCTAGAGGCAGAACCTTGTCTCTAGTTCTACATTTGCACATTGCCTTGAAACATGACAAGCTGTTTTGTTAAGCTAGTGGGAGAAAAGGGACATATTAAAGAAGGGCGATCCCTGAGGGTACTCTGTTTTCTGACCTGCTGTCAGCATAGAGAATTACTCATAATATGGCAGTATGAGCTGTTGGAAGTACAGATTAGGGACAGATATGGTCTCCCAACTAGCCAAGTGATTACCATCAGGGGTCTTGAATCAGTAACATCAGCTTTAAATTGCGGTTAGAAATAGACAAGGACAGTGCATCTTCCAAAGATGTTGAATGTCCTGTGCTACTGCTGTTCCCTGAATAGTAACTACTTCTGATGGACCAGCCTCTGCTCTCTGTCCACTCTACCATTGGTTATGGGAAGGTTATGTTTGTGATGCCTAGACAAATTATGAGGTCTGGCTTCAGTTAGGAAAAAAAACACTGACCATCCATGACAAGGTTATTTATAAAGTGACTCGCTCACCACAGTAGTCAGTTTTAAAGAAATTGAATCACTTGTTGCCTGTATGCTGATGTGTGAAATAGATCCTCAGCCCCAGGAGCAGCAGTGGTGTCATTTGACCTTTTCTTAGAGCAAGCCATAGTCACGCAGCAGCTGAGAAGTCCTTTGTAGCCTTAATGCAATACTTCCTGGGTGTAAAACAAGAAATGCTTGTGATTCTTCTGTGGTACTGTTAGCTGCTCCCTCAGCACTTCTGTCAAAATGTTGTCCTCTGATCAGGATGTTTGAGGCTTATACAAATGCATATAGAGAGGCAGTTGTAATATGATAGCAAAATATATAGACTATTGACTGAGATAGGTTTTTAAAATTGTCTTTGCTCTCTCCTATATAAGTTAAAATGTCATTTCCAGACATGAATTTATCATTGCTGCATAATTTGGAATGACTAATCTCTCATATTATGTCTTGCCTTCCTAATGTTGTACTGACCTCGAAAGTTCTGCTGTTTCTCAACATGGTGTTAATTTAAGGATCTGTTTTCATTGTTTCAGACAGATGTACAGCTCAGCCAATGGGTCGAAGAGCTGCAGCTAAACTACGATGTGTATATGGAAAAGGATGTTGACAGAGAAGCACTCGAACAGATACATTTATACAAGATTCTCTAGTACCTGGAAAAATTTACTAGTATCCTTATAATATCATATATTTTGGGTCTAAAACAAATTTGGATTAATTTGTGTGAATAAATCAGGTCAAAATTCATATTGTGATTAATCTGATTCATATATATGGTTTGTAATGAAAAAGAGCCTTGGAAACAGGTTTTCTTACGGAGGCATTTTGTCTCAGCAGAGTATTTTGACTTTTAACTAGGAGATATACTCATGGTTTAGTTTTTGCAGAAATGGTAGAAAGAGTGGCTACATACTGATACTAAAAGAATTTTTCATCACTAGCATTGTGCACTGCCAATGTTTGCTAAATATATCAAACCTAAGAATAGTGAATCATTATTAACATGAATGATAAGAATGCATTTAGCATAATGTTACTTAAAAGCAGTAGTGCTGGTTCATTTTGGTATAGACCATTTATTATTATCTATAATAATAATATTTACTGTCAGCAGTATTATCTTTAGTTTTCCTCCTATGGAATTTGTAGGGTTTTTTTCCAGGATCTGCTTGATAACCAGAGTGTCTACTTGGCATCTGTTATGAGAGAAGCAAGTTCATCCATTTAGTTAGTTGTCCTTAAAGTGGGTATTAATATAAAAGACACCAAGGAGCCATTGAGAATTAATACAGCAAGTCTGGGACAATGGAACTCTTTTCCACCTTCTGCACTTCTGCTGGGGATGGTAGGAAGTGTAATAAGGGGTTAAGAAGCTGAAAATTCTGAACAGGTGTCACGGCTTAGCAGAGGCTTGGTGATGGCGTAAAACACTGGAAATTCGTAACAGAGCCTCCTCAGAGAGAAAAGATCCACATACGCCCACCACATTTATATTTAGATTTTACGTTCTAAGGATGTGAAGCTTTTAGTCAGCTGAAGAATGTTTCGGGTTTTAGCAAACATTAACGATCCAAGTGCAAAAATATTAACTTCAGGAGTTTTGGACTAAATGTGTTGTGAATTTAGAAGCACTGGTAAAAAGTTTGCTGCACAAGTTGTCTAGTGTAAGTGGGAAAACATTAAATTGGATTTCAGTCTTCAAATGATTTACAGGTCAGTGACCTTAATAATATATGCTGTAAGCAAAAAGATCAGTGCCCTTTGGGCACTCACTGACATAGTAAGTAAATGGCACTTTAGAAAGAATAGTGAGTGTTAAGAAGTCTTATTTTCATGGTCTGTTTGGAGTGGAAGAGGATGTTTTAACTTGAGTGATACTGAACCACTGCCCAAATACTGTGTTGAATCTATTCTTCATGCATTTAAAAATTAAAAAAGATGGAAAGCTCTTCTTAAAATGTTTATTTTATTAAAGTACAATAACTGAACTGTTGATTACTTAGTTGTCAATGAGACAAGTGCCCCTAGAAAAGAAACTTAGGAGAGGCTAAGCAACAGGGTGGCGGTAATGCAAGGCTAATAGATTTAACAAGGAGAGAATAAAAATCGAGAAAAGAAATGTGTGTGCAAGTCAGAATGAGGAAATGAGCACTCTAGTAATCAGTGCAGTGGAAGCTGTGACTGAATTGGAGTGTATAAATAGGCTGTTATAAAAGGAAGACTGAATGGGTCATAAAAAACTACTTCATAAAACCCTACGACCATGTGAGAAGAAAACACCATGTTGGAATGTTTTTTACTTTTTGCAGAGGTCCTGCAAGATCTCCCGAATCAATTGTCAGGACGTAGGGCTCGTGATACTGGGTTTGATCTGTGCCCTGCACCTTGTTTTGGTAATACGGGAACTACAACTTTCATTGCAGTTGTTTCCCCTCTTCTTGCTGAGTCTTCAAATGCTTTTTTTGAGTGTTGATTTCAGATAAAAAAAATTTCAATAGACTGGAGCAGATCACCAGCATATTTAACGACATCTGTATCCTCTGACTCTGGAAATAGCATGCACACATCTGGAGCTCATATGCAACAGAGGGTGCAACAGGGAAGCTCCCCCTGTCTATTTTAAACATCAGGAGAAACTCAAAAGGTGAGTTAAAGCTGCTGAAATGTGTGTTTTCCTCTCCTGCCCTTAATAGGTTCTTGATTAAAACCCTCACCTCAACACGTTCACAGAGAAGAGGTGGTGGTAATACAGTTTGGGTTTTTTAAACTCATGCTCAGAAATACAACTCCTCTGTCTTTTTGGAAGCCTCTTTCTAACTTGGCTTCATAGGGTCAGAGCTTGTAGGGCCATTCTTAAGGATTTTATGAGCTGCTTAACTCATCTACTGGAGAGCTAGAAAGAACTAGCGTGTGAAAGAGGGTATTAATTGTCTCTTTTCCAGCTGGCCCCTTTTAGTCATGTTATATATTCCCACACACAAGGATAGCAAAGGTAAGGTGTGATGATGTTTGCAAAACCTTGTGTGAAAGTGGGCAAATCGGTCCTCCGTGTGTGCTCTCTGAAGGCCTCGGACGTGAGCTGCAATCCTCCTGGGACTGCATGCGTTGCCTCAGCTCAGGTTTTGCTTGTTCAGCTCAAGGAAGCTGCCAAGGGTATATCCAGTGTGCTGAGTCCTTGTTTTTGGTTCTGCTACTGCTGAATTGTGTGGTATTTGGCAGATGATTGAACTTTTCTCTGCCTTGGTGTCTACAGTGAAAATAGAAATAACAAATCCAAAATCAAAGCAAGGTTGTGGATTAATTGAATATCGATTGCTTTGAGATTGTCATTCAAAAAGTGCTAAACAGCCAAGTTCTTCTTTGTAAACTGACCTAATTTAAAAGACCTGAAAGGCAAAGAAAATACCAGTACCTCTTTGAGATACTTTCTGGCTCTTTTCTTCATGTAACAGCATTGAAAAGGAAGTGCAGATTAACCACAGTACAGTGTTAAAAATGCACAAATAATTAATTCCTAGTGCTCTCAGTTTTTATACTGCCCTTGCTGTTAGGTGGCCTTGGATGTTGGGGAGAGGGGAGAAACAAACTTCACTGGTCCTCAGATTTTTGGGTTTGTGTGCAGGGCAGGTCTGTGACAGCTCCCGCAGATGGCATGGTGGCTCTTGGGAACTGCCAACCAGAGCTGCTCGCTGCCCCAAACAGCTCTGGGGCTGCACGGCTGGTGTGCTACATCCTCGCATGAAAGACAGCTCTTTGTATGACCTGATGGAGGTCCTAACCCCAGCTACAACAGCAAAATGCTATGGTCATGAACAACTGATAAATCACAACATTTCACATTTGTAGACCTGAGTTAAAACAAATTAATGTGAGGGAGATGCACATCTGCAGTGCTTGTAACCACCAGGAGTTTCTGTCACACAGAAAACAGCTCTGCTGTTCCCCAGCATCATAACTTTCCATGTAGTACTCTGGCTTCTGCAGAATGAACTATTTGAAATTTAAACTCATTGAGAACTACTTCTGTAGTAGTAAAAGAAGAAAAAAAGAAGACTTTCTGGATCCACTGGAGTAGCACAAGATGTCAATCTGATTCACTTTGCAGACAGGGAACCTTGCAAATATTTTTGCTTGAGGTTGTGTTTTCGAAAAATCACCACGTGCCTGGTGAGGGCAGCCTGGCTCTCAAAGGTAAGTAATTTTCCATATGTCTTTTTTCACAGTAAGCAATACTGGAAGGGGCCAGTGACATATGCTTGGGAAAACTTGACGGTGGGGCAAGCTTGAAAAAAAACAAATCCAGCTCTTTTATTCCTCACCATCTGTGTCATCAGCCTCCTCTCTTTCCTAGGTTTCTCATGTCTCTTGTCTCTTTTCAGCCATATTCTCTCCCTGCTGCCAGCGCCAGGACCAGCCCATGGTGCAGCAGGAGGCATGCAGGAGCTCTGCCTGAGCGTGGCTGCAGCCTGCATGTTTTCTCTGTTACTAGAAGACAATAATAGTGAACATGACTGGTAACTTCAGTTGAGCAACTTCTAGAGTTCAAGGCAGACTGGAGTAATGATGGAATAATTTTTTAAGGGGCTGCTTTGTACTCTCCAGGAATTCTTGGTAGGGACTCCAATGAAACGAGCAGAACCTGTTAGATCTCATCTGAGAGCTCACAACAGACCCAGGCTACAGCTCCCCTGCCTCAGTAAAAAGTGGGAGTTGACATAGGCAATGCCACTACTCTTTGCTGGCGTTTTAACAAATGGCCTCTCACATGCCTTTGGGATGTCACAAGCCCTCTGCAGTAGAGGGGGTTGTTTTTGTAGAAATAAGTGCAAATAAGAAATACAAATAATAAATCTGAAGAAAGAAGGCAGTGCTGCCTGGCCAACAACTGTATGTTAAATGCTCTTTCTGGAAATGTCTATACTTCACTTATTCATTATTTGAGAGCAGATTAGGGTGGAACAGTATTTTGACAAAGGAAAAGAGATGGAACATGATACTTAAATATGTATATTTTTAAATTCCTGACAGCTTGCATCATTTAAAAAAATGACATGTTTGGCCCTAGGAGTGAGTCTTTTCCAACAGGAAGAAGGTAGCAGTACTCTTGAAGGCTTAGAGCTGATCACTTCCAGAGTCCCTTGTAGCTTGTAATGCAGGAGTCCCCTATGCGAATGAATGCGAGAGTCATCCCCACAATTCCAACAGATCTTAAAATCCCAAACCCAGAAGTTCACTATTACTTGTCTTTTCTACTAAGAATTTGCATCCCCCTTTTTTTTTTTTTTTACTGCTGCATGACCTGTGTGATGTCCCAGTCCCTCTTGCAGTTATAGTACTGCTTTACCTGTAGACCCTATCTGGGGATTTTTGCATTCATGCTTCTCAGGAGACTCCTTCCACTTGGTGGGACAGAAGGAAGAGGAGAGCAGTTTTCATTCTTCATCACAGGGTGCCTCAGAGTCCTGAGTTCTTCCTGATCTGCCTCTCTCTGTGTGAAAATGGCTGTTAGGGCTTATTTTTCCACCACCTGCCCCAAGCCCTGCCAAATGCCTACAGGGCAAGTGGGGGAGAGGGGAGGCTCTGTGATGCTGCTCAGCTGTGCTTTCCCAGGTTTGCCCAAGCATGGAAGGGAGCCAGCCAAAACTGTCAGCCTGGGCTGGAAACAGCAAGGATAGGAAAAGTCAGCAAAAGATTTCACGCCAAAATTTAAAGCAGAGTAATTTAGCAGAGTTGCTAGCAGCCCCAACAGAGATCAGGCCCCGATCATCTTCAGTATTGTGAGAACATATGTATTGTGTATGTGTGTATATATATCCGCCCATGGAATGAGACTCTCCTTATCCTCAAGAGTCCACTGTGTACATGGACAAAGGTAGAAGAAAGGAAATATTATTTCCTATCTTCCAGATGGGGCATTGAATTTTGTGTGGTTATTGTGATTGTGTAAATGAGGTAATTGCACGCACATGATCTGCTGTGGGATTGGTGAGTGCACTTACTGTGGTCAGTATTTTCAGGGACTTAAAATTGGGAATACGAAAATACATAGCTGTTAAGTACTCTCTATTTTGAAAATGACATTAAGAAGATAAATAGTTCACAATTTACTGGGAAGGGAGGAGGGGAAAGGAAAGGAACATCACTGGAAGCTTCCTGGCAAAACTGTTTAAGTCACTAGAATACAGGCACCAAGCTGACACACAGACAAACATTGTAAGGGCACTGGTGCAATGAAGAATTTGGGTGGAGCTGCCTGCTTCCAGCTTCTCAAACAAAGAAACTAACAAAGGAAAAATCAGCGATTTTAGTAGTAACCTAAACAGAAAGCTAACAAAACATGAGGCTTAGTGTCTTAAAATAAAACTGAGCGTGATGTCGCGGAAGTGCTTGCCAACTAACTAGGTTTGGATGCTGAGGAACAATATTCTGTACTAGAGATAACAGATGCCTACATGTTTTTTTTCAGTCCTGTGTAAGGTGTGCAAGCTGAGAATGTAAGTAAACAGGTACATTTGCTTGGTAGTTTTGAAAGCATTTTGAATAGTAAGTACATTTCAGTTAGGAGCTGTGGCAATTAGGAAAAACAATTACTGGAACCAGTAAGTTATACTAATCTTGAACTGCTGTGCTATGTACGTGTACTAAGGGTGTCCGTGTCAGAGGCCTACACAGGAGCATCTCAGACATCCTCACCGATCCTTTCCCTCTTTGTGCATGTTAGAAAGTCTGGACCAGTGACTGGTAGGTCATTGTCAGCGCTTCCCTTTTGCCAAGGTAATAACTCAGAAGGTCATCAGCAAAAAGATCCACACCAGAGCCAGGCAATGAGGAGGGGGTCACAGAAAGCAGTCAAGGATTTTATAATCAAAACTACTGCATGTGTGAGTACAACATGTGGTGCTGCAATACTGTGAGTCTGTGTTTTTAGTGCATTTACTGGAATTAGTGAGGACCTCCACTGTCTAGTTAAAATCTCTGTGTTGTAGAGTGACTCTCTTCTTGAGTGTCATCAAGGTGTCAGCCAAAAATTCTGAAGTTGCAGCAAGACCTGCTGTGGAAGAGAAGACTCAAGACAGCTTTTGGCTCCCTTTTGGGAAGGGGCTGATTGTGGAGTACAGTACATGTTGTTGGGCTTTTTTTGTTTTTAATTACTCATGTTTTGGACCTTATTTCTGTTTTTCTTTCAATGCCAAGCAGAAATTACTATTTAGGTCAAACTACTGTTTTGGTACTAATAGAAGCAGACATCAGTTTTGTCTATGGAATTCACAGCTATGCATTTCTTGGAGTGAAGTCCCCTCTTTAGGCTACTGCTGACATTTAGCTGTGGTGGTGTTAATACCAGCTTTTAGTGCTACCTCTGCCACGTTACTTGTGCACAGAGAGGTGTGGGATATATCTGGGGAGCTGCCTTTCAGCTGTAGCTTTTTTTCATCAGGCAGGCTCAAAGTACAGCATCTTGTCCCAGATCCAGCTTTTGGGCCACTTCGTGCTGCTGCTGCATGGTCCTGGCTCTTACCTTTTCAGCTTTTCCTTACCACTGGTGTGATCCTGCCTCCTGGCCTGTCCCTGGCTGGTGCCAGCTCTGCTATGTTCTGCTTCTCTGAGGGGTTGTTTCCTAACTCCAACTCCCCGGGCTCTTGCTTACTGCTTCCTGATGAGTGACAGCTTAGGAGAGGAGCCTCAGCTCATGCCTAAGTTTTTAGTCTGTGTTCTGCTCCGTGCCCCATCTCAGATGCTGGTGTGTCTCCCCAGGGAGGCGTTCGGCACTGCTGCCCTGGAACCAGCGCCTCAGAGGCATGCACGGGAACGGGACACCGGCTAGCTTAGGTGCCAGGAGTATGAGATTGCTACAGGCCCCTCATCCCTTCCTGTTGGGTAACAGAGTGAGTTGAAGCGTCTCTGCGCAGTAAAAAGTCGACACAACTTAAACACCTCCCTTTTACAAGAGCCTCCGTGCCCCACTTTATGGTCCTGAGCGTGGGAACTGTGGTTGGAGGTGTTCGTCTGCCTGCTGCTGTAACTCCATGCATGCAAGGCCTCACTGAATTTCCTCCAGTTCTCATCATCTGAGTATCTGGCTCTTCACCTTCAACTCTGGGCACCAAGACTTCTGAAGATGGATCTTTAAACTTATTTATGTTCAGATGCTTAGATCCTGAGCTACAGCCAAAGATATGGACTGAGAAAGTACAAAATTGGATTTAAGCTACCTTTGAAGTTCTGCCATATCTGTATTATTTTACTTATTAAAATAAATAATACTTTAATTTGCAGAATAGCCAAGAATGAGCTGGTTAGTAGTCATCCCAGGGTCTCTACTACCAGCTAATATCTGGGAGGCTGAAAGTACTTCTTAAGGCTACTATTTTTTTTCTTCCCATCCTCCTCAGATTTTCCTGCAGGTAAGAGGAACCTCAAAATGACTTGGTTTTATATTCAGTTTCTGGGAGGGCTTTGCTACCAGGAACAGCATGACTGAGCACAGCCTGAAAATTAAGTCTGGTTTTACTTAAGTAGATAACAAGATGGTTTCTGTGAAATTTCCACATTCCTTTCGAACTGATCCTCTTTTACAGTACATGTATGATATAAAATCCAATATTGCATTCCTTTTTCTGCCCTTCTTAGTTTTGTCTCTTGTTCTTGTGTTTGGTTTTTTTCTGTGGCTTTTTTTTTTTTTTCCTGGTCAACTATTTCACCCAAACTTTGCATTCAGAACAGCTGATGCCACCCTGAAACTCTCTGGTAACAGAAGGATGTTTTTACCACTTATTGGTCTGAGTTGATATCATGCCCTAAATTAACAGAAGTTAGTTACAGCACCCACATTTCATCATAACTGTGCATATGGTTTAGCTTTCAGAGATAACAGGGATGAGTTTTTATTAGTAGCTAGAAAGAGGTACTTTACTGAGGCTTAGAAGACCCAGAGCTAATGCCCTTTCAGTAATAAGGATTTATGTCTTTTTGCTGTCCTGTAACTAGTGTTATGGTATCCAGACTTGGGATTATTCCTTTGTCCTTCCTGCAAGTGGCTGTAAGGGCATGGAGGGCATGGGGAAGACACACAGCTGGTCAGAAATTAATTCCCCCCCTCCCCATGCAGGCCTTAATAGTGATGAAGGACCCTGGCAGAGAGGAGAGTGGACAAGCATCGCATGTGTGTGGATGAGGTCCATACTGACAGCCTCAATGAACTGATGGAGGCACCTGAGCTCCAAAGCGAGTATTTCCAACCCATGGGAATGGGCTCATCTTACTGCTGTGATCATAAGCAGAACAGTAGCCAGGAAAAAGCTTAATATCACAGCAGAAACAAGGTGCAAACTTCTCAGCATCTCCAGAGCAGCCTGGTGATTGTGTGGTGGAGAAAGCAGTCTCTTACTGCCTCGGAGAGGAGGTACAGCCTACAGTCCCAGTGATGACCTGAGCCTAGTGATGAGCAAGCACTGTTTAGCACTGCACCATAGCTGAGCCCTTTCCGTAGCTCGCGGCCCTGGCAAGCCCATCTGTCTGTTCCTGCAGCCACTGGGTTTGGCTGAATCAGCCAGGACTTCTCCCCATAGGTTCCCAGTTAGCTTCTTGCATGACCCAAACTGTTTTCTCTCCCCTGCTTTGCACAACAATCCCACTTCTCCCAGTCATGTCTCTTCTCCCTACAGTGTTTTCACAAATGTACATGGGCTGTCCCATTTCCTCACACCTTGGTAAGGGAAGTTGATGTACAGAGGTCAATTGACTGGGATCTCTTTCTGCCCAAACTGGTTCACCTGAATGCTGGTTCCCAGCAAACCTTCCTGTGTTGTGGGAAAGGGACAGGGGGAGAAGGAAAAGCAGAAGAAATTGAGAGCAGCTAGGCTTGTTCTGAAAGAATTAGGGAAAAACAGCTCCAGGCAAGGAGGCTGCTGTGGGCTGTGTATCTGTTCTTGGGAGCTGGAATGATGCACAGCTGATGGACAGCCTTTCCTTCCTCCTCTGGGTGCTTCCCATTCCCAGGACAATTTTAAGGCACTGGACATCCAATGGGGAGGTGGATTAGGAGGAAGAGGGACTGAGGATCCAGTTGGCAGGAGGAAGGCTCTGCCAACAGAGGACTGGCAACACCTAATGAGTACACAGCAAGGGATAGCAGCTAGCACTCCTCCTTCCATGGGGAACAGCTCACTATCAAGTTCTTCCACCACGATGCTCATTGGTCACAGAAGATCTCAAGCTGGAAGGGACCCATAAGGATCATTGAGTGCACCTCTTACCTGTATTTTCCACAGAAAAACTTTTCCAGCCGGCTAGCAAGAAGGCTCTTTCCCATCTCCCCTGCAAGACCCTGGTCTCTGAAGGAGCTCTCCCTGTGAAGCCTAGGCTTAGCCTAACACTTTTAACCACCCCTACAGCCAGTGTTTTTTTCAGAAGCCTTATTTATGACCACATATACATTAGATAGAGATTGCTTAATTTGCATAGGTGCCAGACACAGAGATGCACACAACTTGGCAGGTATGCCCAGACGCAAGGTGGGTGAGTCTTGAAAGAGGGAGGAGACAGGGCCCATGTTTGTGTTCCTGTGGGGATTGCTGCTGGCAGGGAAAAATGGGTTTAACTGGGACCCAGAAAGTTTCAGATCAAAGCTGTGAAAGGGCTTTTAAACCCATTCTCTTCTCCTCCTGCACTGTACCAGCACTCTCTTGTGCTTTGCTTTAAGCAAAAACTTTCACTGTGGTCAAATTATTATGCATGTGAAGAAGATGCCAACATGAGGCTGTTACAGAAGGCTGGGCAAATCAGCTAAGTGTAAGACATCATGGTGGAACCCTGTCAGGTTTAGCAGTGATGGCTACATATTGTCTACCTCCCACCTCCCACACCTCACAGCCAGGAGTTATTGCCTCTGCACTAGCAGTGGCCAAAGCAGGGACTTGCTGCCTCTGCCCGTGCAGTCCACAGGCCAGACTCGGCAGAGAAATTACCCTTATCAGCATCTGCTCTTGTCTCCCCTGCTGCTGGGACAGACGGCACTGGAAGAGGGTTACAGGGGACACGGAGGAGGTAAAGCATTAAAGATTGCTGCTGTTCAGTCTGGCAGAGCCCATCTGTCAAGGCCCTTAAAATGCATTCAGTCCCAAGATGGAGGTTTCCAGAACAAATCAAGCAGCCTTAATTTGATGCTATTTAGTAGGGTCTGCTTAAAATTAACGAAAAACTTGGTCAGGCACCTCTAGCTAGGCAGTTTAATGCATTAACATAACCAACTTGCTACTCTTCCCTGCAGAGCAGAACGAGATGGATCCCACCCCTCACCCCTTCCTGTTCACAGCCCAGTGTTGTGTCTTAAGCCATTAATACTGGTGGGCTTGTGCAAAGACATCAAGCTGTAAATGATGATGTACCTCACAGAAGCTCAAATCCTGCTCTGCTACCTGAGAAAAGAGACTGTAACTTTTTGTGACTATGATATCTCAAGAAGGGGAGACCCGTTAGAGGTCTGCATACTTTTGCTCCTGAATGACGGGATCTACGTGGTGTTTAAGATGTTAAATGTACATGTACACATTTTCATCCTTTTAGCTGATTCATCTTGAGTTTTCTAAGTGGAGACATGGCAGAAATTTGCTAAAAAGCTAATGGAAATTATGCCTCTTGACAAAGACCAACTATGAGCAATTATTGTGGAGGCACCTGTTAACGAGTGAGGTTACATACATCCTCTTTGTTTTCATCACTTCTCTTTGTTAAGCACAAGGCACATCGGAAATTCTGCTGTCTGAGGATGACAGCAGATTGGGGATGTGGTTATCTGCCTCCACTTACTACACTCTCACCACTCCCTCTCAGAGGCTGAGTGGGATGACCAGAAAATCGGGAGGATGTGGTTTCTGAATTCTGAATCATGACAGTTTTCCCCCAATACTCTTATCTGTAGTAATTAAAAAATTCCAGCCTGGTAATTAGACTGTAGTTCTCAGGCTCTGCGGGCCTTGACACTAGCTTCTTAAATTTAAGGACTAACCAGAGGAATCAAATTAAGTTTTTTTAATTAACAGTTCTTCTAAACTGATACTCAATTGGAGGCCAAGCTGAGCAACAGCATTTTAGAAGTCATTCTGTTACTTCCACTCCCATTTGCATTTCTTCCTCAGGGACCTCCAAGTCCCACACTAATTCTTTCTGTAAAACCTTGTAGTGGAGTCAGATCCAGGCTGCTCACTAGAAACAGATAATGAGTGAAAATATTCCAGCAATTTGATCTTTGCTGTTTCAACCTGCGTTTG